TATCCAATGGTTCGCCTATATTTCTGTCTCACTGTTGGCTTTTTCTTACTGTTGAGTAAGACTTCATTATAAATTCAGAATATAGGTCCTTTGATGTATACACTGCAATTATTTTCTCCTACTATGTGGTTTGTCTTCAGACTCCCTTTACAGTATCTTTTGATAAACCAAAGTATTAAGTTTTAAGGTAGCCTAATTAATCAACTGTTATGTTATGAGGAGCCTTTGAAAGTTCATGGAAGGGCAAAACAGTGGCACAGAGCTAAAATGCAACATCTTCAAGGCTGAGCCATGTGGGAGGGTTCTGGGTTTGTATCTGGAGACCTCTCTGAGTATGCTGGGGACACACACATCCATGATCCAGAAATGGCTGAGGCTGAGGGTGGATCATGCTGTCAAGAGCCAATTTGAGAAGCTATCTCTCTCTCAGTCTTTCAAACTCTTGAAATTTTTTTTTAAATTAAAAGAAAATCTCTTTTAGGGCTACCAAAGTGGATAAGGGAATCAGATCTCACATGGTTGACTAATTTGAATCCAAGCCTAGTAACTTGGAAAACACACTGGGGACTTATGCATGTGCACCAAAGTCCTGAAAGGAAGGAATAATAGAAGAAAAAGCACTGTGGTATGACCACACCCCATTGGAGTGCTTTTGTTTTTTTAAAAAAATTTCCCTCCAGCTTTAGTGAACTCACATTCCCTCTAGCAATAGAAAAAATAATTTTAATTCATGGAAAAAATGGAATTTAAGCTTTTATTCTCAGCATAAGTTCCATTAAGTTCAAGACACTTTTGTAAGCAATCATACCAGCCATTTAGTTCATCCCCAAAGAACTGAGGGCCTGGGAACTTAACCATGTCAATGCAGACTTTTTTTTACATGATTAATTGGGAAAAAAATGGGTACTCTTTAAAGATTTTTTAAAATTATGAAACAAAAAGAAATGAAAAGGCCAAATCAGGACTGTAAGGTAGGGGCTTAATGACGTCCCATTGAAATTCTTGTATAATTGCCCTTATTTGCTGAGAGGAATGATTAGGGCATTGTGGTAGAAGGCACTGATGAAGCTTCCCTGAGCATTTTCTTGCTAAAGCTTTGATTAACTTTCTCAAAACGCTCTCATAATAAGCAGATGTTATTGTTCTTTGGCCCTCCAGAAAGTCAACAAGCAAAATACCTGTTGTCGTGAACTTTGCTCTTGACTTGTGCACTTCTGCCCTGATTGGACCATTTCCACCTCCTGGTAGCCATTGCTTTGATTGTTCTTTGTCTTCAGGATCATGCTGGTAAAGCCATGTGTCATCTCCTGTTATAATTCTTTGCAGAAATGCTTCAGGATCTTGGGTGCACTTCTTAAAAGTTTCCATGGAAAGATCTATTCTTATCTACAGCAGATGTGGATGCAACACTTTTGACACTGGCTAGACAGAAAGTTTTCAACTTTAATTTTCAATCGGAGTTGTGCAGTTTTACTGCACTACAGCTTTGTACTCAGTTGAGATGTCTGTGGTACTGGTTATTGTTTCTCCTATTAATCAGCAATCCTCTTTAATTAGAGCATGAAGACAATTATTTTTTTCCTTACAAATTTATGTGGATGGTCCGCTGCTGCAGATGTCATCTTCAACATGATCGCATCCTGGTTTTGTTTTGTTTTCCTTTCCTTTTGGAGTAAGAACTTTATTACATGAGCTATGACAGGAAGGAGGACGGCTTTGCTTTTCTTCAGCTGGAAGTGCAGCCCCTTGTGCTCCAGCACATAGCCATCTTCTCGGCCACACTAGGCTGGCCTGGTCTTGGTGCACACAGAAGAAGCTTGCCCTGCTAGAACTGCTCTTCTAGAAGGTGGCTGATTTTGGCATTCTTTTCCCTTTCATTATACTTCTTCTGAATTTTCTTTAATCCTTTTTTTATTTGTTTGTTCGTTTAAAATCTCTACCTCCTCAAGAGTCATCTTGATCCTATCCCTAGGACAGCTCACAGTGGATTCATACCATTGCTGTATCATCTGCAAGGCGCACAATGCAGTTGTTCACCAGAGTCTTGGCACAGACCAGTTCTCTGTTAGATGCATTGTAGATAGCATCCCTGATTCTAGTTTTGCATATACAACACTCTGAGCCCCAGGAGAGGCTCCCTGTGTCCAGCTTGGGGATATGGCATGTTTTGCTACCTCCCAGCCCAGGGGCTGTGTAGTGCAGTGGGGAGCCATCTTAGTGCTGGCTGCAGGATGTGCTGCGTTGTGCTTCCATTTCTCATGGTAGGACTTTCTCTTATCTCCAATGATGTGCCAGTTGTCTCAAGAGATACTCAACACTTGGCTGGCTAGAAAGACCTCATCCTTTTTAACATGAGTGATCCATTTGTAAACTGCTGATTTTTAGGGGGCCTTGTCCCCATAAGCTTTTCATAAATGATCAATGATGTCACCATTCTTCCACCTGAGCTTCACCGTAAGTGTGATGTTTATTCTTGCTTCAATTTTAGTAGAATTCATGTTGCTCTGACAGAAGCTCTTTTTCAATCAATGTTCTGGCCTTCTTAGTGTCTCAGACTAGATCCTGTTCAGACATGTCATAAGAAGTTACTACAAGTTGGGACCTGCAGGTGGTGTGGTGGTTAAAGGCCCTGGGCTCCCACATGGCCGACCATGGTTTGAGTCCCAGACCTGGTGGCTTGTGTTTTCTCTCTCTATCTCTCTCTCTCTCTCTCACACACACACACACACACACACACACACACACTGACCCTCTCTGGTCAAATTAAAAAAAATAAATAAAGATAAATAAAATAATTCTTTAAAAAAAGAAGTTACTACAAGTTTATTTTGGTGTAGCAAAATTTTGAAATTCATGCATCATTTTTTCATAATACATATTTCCCAGGAATATGTATATACATATATGTGTGTGTGTAAATTTAAACTTGTAACCCCTCTGAAACTGATTTGTGATTGTCAAAATTCATTTCCTTCCAGTAAGAAGATCCATCTGTACAGTTTTGTACAAATTACTGGGCAGAAACATTTTCTTTCACTGCACTATAGTGTTGTACTGTCATACTTAAGAGACATCGGTCAGAATTCAGTCCGAGAAGCACAACCATGAGAAGATAAACATACACGAAAGATGGATCATATAGACTTTCCCTGTGCCATGGCGGAGCTGGTAGAACAGTTTATAGAAGTCTATTGCTTGTGTGGTCTGGGGCCATCAAACAGAAGGAAATGTGGCTGTGAGGTGGGGAAAGAAACATCAGCCTGGTTGCTGTGAGGCTGAGCTGAGCCCCTGGCCAGCTTCTCATGATCTCTGAACACCCACCTCCAGTGCTA